GTCCAGCCTCAGGCCAGGAAGTAAACCAAGCCTTCTACTGGGTTACAGACTGGAACTCCCGCTAATACTCTTAGTATTAACCCTAGGCAGAAATCCTGCCAACCATCAAATGACCCAGATCGAAAGGTGGAGGTAATTTCAAAAAGTCTACACAGGTTGGGTGGGGGTAGGGGGGAATAGAAGAGAGAGGAAAACCCTCTTTTTATCCAGGGTTCAGAAATGGCACTAATATATTTGGAACTTTCTTTTTTTTAAATTTATTTATTTATTTTTTTAGATTTGGAACTTTCACTGCAATTACAATGAGCTTGTGAAGTAAAGTCCTAAAACATCCATACAAGTCAAATTCTAGGATGGACGGAAGATCAACAAGAGGAGCATGAACTCACTCCAGATGAAATGAGTTTTGTGAAACCGTCTGAGGAAGATTTGTATTAGGTTTTCCTCTGTGGGAGGTTCATTCCAAAAGTGGGAGGCACGATATTTAGCTTCTGGACTTCTCTGGGCAAAGATACAGGACTAAGGTTGAAGAGAATTAGATTCAAGACCACACACCATTGGTTGCTGAATGCCTTCAGCCTCTAGAATGAGGAATCACCATATTCAATGGTGGGGATTCTTTGCTCAGTCCTTCACAGACAGACAGACAGACAGACAGACAGACAGACACACACACACACACACACACACACGCACCCTCCCGCCCGGGACAAGAGGGATGGGGTCTTTCATTTGCACAGAATCTCTCATTTACACAGAATGGCTTCGTCACAAATTTGCCAGATCAAGAATTGCAGATCAAGTGTTTCAGCCTTCGCCAGCAGGTCATGGAAAATATGATTGCATCCACAAAAGCCTCCTGAATTGCATATTATTACCAGGATGAAAAGTACAAAAAGACGGCCAAATTGGGGAAAAGATCTAATAAAGATGTTTGGATTAGCAAATGTACACACTCCTCAAGTTCATAAGAATATCCCTTCAGAAGTGGGTGAAGGAAGATGTTGGACAGTGTAAGATATGACAAAATAATATTTTATAAATTATTAAGGGTTCATGAGGGAGGGGGGAGCAGGGCAGGAGGGAGGAAAATGAGGAGCTGATGCCAAGGGCTTAAGTGGAGAGCAGATGTTTTGAGAATGATGAGGGCAAGGAATGTACAAATGTGCTTTACACAATTGGTGTATGTATAGCTTGTGATAAGAGTTGTATAAGCCCCTAATAAAACGATTAAAAAAAAAGGAATATCCCTTCAGGCCATCTAGCTGAGAAGCAACGAAGCCAGATGGAAGAAGCATACCAACCTGTATGATCTTGAGGTGTCCCTGGGATCAGGTATTGTTAGGTAGCAAGAGAGGGGGGTGTTCCTCTCCATGCCTAGGGGCCCCCTACTACAGGAAGTTGGAACCCTTAAGGGCTAAAGGGCATGCGCAAATTCAGGCCCCGGAGCCAGGAAGGTGGTACACCTGGGTGGGCCCAATTCAGGCCCTAGAGCCAGGAAGGCGGTACACCTGGGTGGGCCCACCTGGGCCAGATGAGCTTAATTCAGCCAATGGGGTCAATCAGTACCGTTGACCACGCCTTCCAGCGGAAAGGCCCGAAAAGGCTGAGCTGGGAGACCACTCACTCTCTTTCCTTCTGCCTCTCTCTCTCCCTGCCCCCCTCCCCCTGCAGGTCACCACCTGTGTGGGGGTACAGTTCTGTGTTCAGTTACTGTAAAACCCGAAGCTTCTATCCTTTATGAAAAGCCACTTACATCACAAACCAGGCTTCAGCGTGAATTCTTTCTCCTGCAAAGCCAAGGACCAAAACATTTCCCACCTGAGAAATCTAACAATATCAGGCATCAAAAATCCAGAACAAAAAATCATATCAATGTGAATGAGGGCGTGCAGAGAGGAGACCCAAAGCCCATCTGTAGGCAATTGGACATCCCCTTACAGAAGGGTCACAAGGAAGAGATGAGCCAGTCAGGGTGCAGCATAGCACCAACGAAACACAACTTTTCTCTAGTTCTTCTTCTTCTTCTTTTTTTAAGTCATTTTATTGGGGGCTCATACAACTCCTCACAATCCATACATACATCAATTGTATAAAGCACATTTGTACATTTGTACGTTTGTTAGCCTCATTATTCTT